GACACTTGAACCCATTGGACGCGTCAACGTTCAGCCTATGTCCCCAAATAGTATAAGAACAAGAGAAAGAGCCACTTGAGAGTCAGACTGAGGAGCAAAGAGGAACCAGACCTGGATATCTCCTCCAAAAAGGTCATATTCCAGAAGAACTAAGAGAGGCCTGAGTCATGCGTCTATCCGTGGTAACTGCTGCCCTGCTGCTGGTGGGCATCCTGAGCTCTGTCACAGCGCATCTTGAAGGTCAGTACCAAACCATCAGCACAATATCCAACCAACAGGAAAACCCCTTGTGATTAAAGCCCCTGTCTTGTCACAGGTGGGGTTGTTCAGATGTCATGTACTGACGTGGTTCAGCCTTGTGGTGACGGATGGAGCCGCATTGATGAAAATCGCTGCGCTAAATACTTCTCAACTCCAAAAGCCTTCAACGATGCAGACGTAAGAAAAGTCTAAGAACCTTCACAGATCTCTTTGATCTTTGATGAAATTACACTTTCCTGTTCCTTGTTCTTCTGTCTTTGTGTCTTCTGGTGGAAATGCACTTGTTGTAAGTGACGTGTGATGTGATGTAATCTCTCCGCCCTGATGAAGACTAACGCTCCCATTTCTGTTGATTTCAGGCTCAGTGCAAATCCATAGGAAGTGAACTGGTGTCGATCCACAAAGTTGAAGAGATGCTGAATGTGGTCTGCATCTCTTTTATTGCCGACTCTGAGATGAAGTCCGTTTGGATCGGCGCCAAGCGATCCGGGGTGAGTGAACATCTCCATGTGATCAGAGGGAGGAGAGACTGATGCATGATACATAGAGGACAATGCTGTCTCCTGTCATCTCCGTTCTTATCATGTGTGTCCTTCAGGATGTGTTTGTGTACACCGATGGATCTGAAGTCGACTATTCGTTTTGGTCCGCTGGTCAGCCGGACAATTTTACCGGCGAAGAGGACTGCGTCGAGGTCAAACCCAAAAGTAATGAGAAGATTTTGCAAGAGGTTTTGACAGTGTGGCCACTACTGCTTAGAGACGTCCCACTACAAACGTATAGACAGCTTTAGTAAGAGCGTTATGCATTTGAATAGAAAAGACTAGTTTTTATCTTACGATTCATTTAATACATGGGACTTTTATTTTGAAAGGATAGGAGTGGGTGGACGTGGAGACAGAATCGGAATATTTGGCTCACACTCACACAGGTTATTCGATGACAGGCTTGTGAGTTCCATTAAATGTGAAATAACCACATTGTTCACTTTGATTGATATAAACGTGTTTTCTTCTCTTTGGTTTCTCCAGATTCGGGACTCTGGAATGATGATGACTGCTCGGATGAGAATAATTTCATTTGCGCCAAGAACATGTGATCATCCCCAGCTGATGTTCAATGAGGCTCATGAAGACCACCGCAAACACAAGCTCTTAACTTTACTGCAATAAACACTTCAGCATCCACCTCCAGCTTCTGGCTTCATCTGTTCACGTTTACCAAACAGTGTAGAAAATGTGATGAAAATGAGAGGGAATAAAATAGAAACTTACCTGAGTCCTGATGAACATACCTTATCTAAAGCCTTCTTCCCATTCTTCCCCAGGGGAAAGACTTTCAAGCTCCCCTTTCTGTTTGCATTGAGGTGCCCAACCCTTGTGTCTGTGCTGTCTGGGTCACTTGTGTGGACTGTGCTACTGCCTCTTGGCCAGGTCATCGTTGTAAATGACAATTGGTTCTCAGTTGGTTTTACCTGGTTAAATAAAGGTAAACCCTTCCTCCCCTCCAAAAAACAGAGGGGCTTTGGAGGGGTGGAGGGAGCATAGAAATAGAAGTAGTGGACTTGTTTCAAAACTTTAGATTGATCATCTCGTTGAAAGTGCTACAGGCTCTTTGAGAGTGGCCCTGGACCCAACTGTCCCTCTAGAAAGGAGACTGGTAACTAGAAGGGAGTCGGCTCCTTGGTATAATCCTCAAACCCGAAAATCAAAGCTAGTTAGTCAGCTAGTGTGGGTACGCTTGGCGAGACATTCTTAAAGCATATAAGAAGGCTTTCAATGCAAGAGCAGCTATTGCTCATCATTGATTATTGCATCTTGTTGTAGAGAATAAAAGATGTAAATGAAGCGTAGGGGTAAATTCCGTCAGGAAGACAAGCCAAACAAACCTGTGCCTTTCCCTGGTTACATGATGACGAATATGATGGAGGTTCTATCTGATGGCGGTGGTCCCTGCAGTGGTCCTACCGCACACCTGGCTCACTTTTAATATTTAAACCCTTTCAGTCGTGTGAGTTGAGCGTATTGTACATCGTTTTACGTTCTTCTTTCTGTCACATGACATCTTCTGCATTCTGTCCATCCCGGGACAGAGATCCTCCTCTGCCGTTTTCCGTCAGGTTTCTTATCTTTTTCTCCCTGTTGAAAGGTTTTTTTGTTTTTGGGGGGAGTTTTTGCTGTGCCAATGGAAGCTTTTCAGGAATTTATTATTTGTGATTTGGGGCCATACAAAATAAAAGAATGAAATTAAATGGAATCTCATCGGGTTGCTCATTCCACAAAATCTGTGTGACTTTGTGCCTCTTCTCGCAAAAACAAAGACTGTTATTATCATTTCTCTTTTCACCATCTTTATCGCTACGATCCCCCTGCTCTCATTGAAAGGTGTTGGAATTCCAGTGTGGAATATTTGGAGGGATTGGCACGACGCAGCTCTGCACAATGTGAAATGCAACAGATAGCAGTGTTTCAAGAGGGGAACCAGAGTGATCATTAGGTAGCTAATAGAACACAGCGGAGAGACCCAAATGCACTGAAGGATGTACTGAGTTCTACCAGTTATGCAAACTCAGCGCAGAGAATCTGTGGTTAGGACTTGCACAAGAGGACAGTCACTTCCTGCTGCGCTCAGGGAGACTTTACTCCTTCACACAGCTCCACACAGCAAATGTAGCACCTTTAAAAGCAAAGGCCCCTCATATTCTATGTTTCAAACAATGAATAAATCTCCAAAAAGGTCCAAGGGGTGGAGGTGGGAACCGTGTCAGCTGAAAACGAGTCTCTGAGGGCCCCTAGTGGAGGCTTGGAGGATGGCAGGTCGGAGTGAGATGGAGGTGCAGGTGAGCAGAGCCGGAGACAGAAGAGTTTGGCTCAGGAAACACCGTTGGACCAGAAAGTCTGCGACACGGTGAATCAGCAGAGCAACTGTCCTCTCTTTATAAAGCTGTGTTGGTATTTACTTCACATGTACAATCACATGACAGTGGATCAATCTGCTCATTAAACCCTCAGCCAAGAAGCGAATGAGGACACTTGCCAAAGATATTCCCTTATAGAGGGATGTTTTGAATAAAATGACATATTCATTTTGTTCCCTTGATAACTTGAAGCATGTCTAGCGTTAACTCCGTTCAAAGAATCATTTTTGTAGACTTTCACACCTCAAACTCCTTCTCCAGCCGTGTAGCACTGACTGACAGCGAGACGTAACTTTCTTCATGGTTCCAGACGAGGTTCCACATTAAAAGATATTTGCAGACCCACAATGAAAGGGGACAAATACCTTGAGATAAGGATGTGCAGCTGAACCTCAAACTCTACATATGGAAGAGTTAAATACACTGATATGTGAAAGAAATCAAGCATTATTCTTCCTTCTCCTGATATTATCTGTCAGATGAAGTTTTGGCTGAAGTACATCCGCAGGGTTTCTCTTTGTACGATTATCGACAAACTAAAAACTGCATCGGGGCTTCTGCCCAAAAGGAGGCAAAGTGACGAGGCCATGCTCCGTTGAATGCAAACACACACATACACACACATACACACACACATACACACACACACACACACACACACCTTTTATTGTTGTTTCTTCCACACCGAGTTTCTCATTGCTAATTCTTTCTGGTTTTACAAAGAATGTAAGGAGAACGTTGTTTTCCGGCCTGTTGGCTGGACTGAGATGCAGAGCGAGAGCTTCCTCATGTTCGTTCCCACTTTAAACATTCCGCGTTATAAAGTCAACTGTCTTCGTTTCTCATTGACTGCCTCGCAGCTCTCAACGTCCGTGTTGCTTATTCAGTGAAGTCATTATCAAGACGATCAAACATTTAAACATTATTTCTGCCGGAGGAGTCGGAACACCTTTAATAGTTTGAGATGAAACGCGTGAAAGACCACACGAGTGGATTATTGACTGAAGGAGGAGGAAGGAGAATAATAAAGGTCTGCAGACAGAAACCATCCACTCGCACCAATATCTACCTACACATTCAATTAAAAGAATCAACGGCCTCGACTATTGATCGACCACCAGGTTCATTCATCATGATCAACGAGATAAGACCTTTGTGAACAGCAAAAGTCTTCACCTTGTTGTCTTTACTCGCAGCTAAATTCTGTATTTTATAAACATACAACTACCAACGTGAGGAGGAAGCAGCTGTTAAACTTACAATGATAATCTGTCGTATTCTCCATAACTAAGCAGCCAATCTACTTCCTGTTTGCACCACCAGCGCCTGCCCAGCTTACTTAAATAGTCACATGAGCAGGAGATGTAGCATCTGATGTAGCATTAGATGTAGCATCTGATGTAGGATTAGATGTAGCATTGAATGTAGCATCTGATGTAGCATTAGATGTAGCATTGAATGTAGCATCTGATGTAGCATTAGATGTAGCATTGAATGTAGCATTAGATGTAGCAGTTTGTCTAAACGTTTTTTAATGCTGTTTTCTATTTGTTGTGCAGTATTTCCTGTGTGTTGTATGTTGTGAAAGTCGTGTCTTTTCTAAGTCATCTGTGTGAGCGGCTACTTGGTGGCAAATGAAAACTTTTTTAAGGGACAATCTAAATATAATAAGTTGACAGCTGAGTCTTGTCTTAGTTTTATTGTCACACACTTCATGCCAGAGTGTGTTTGTCTTTTGGGTGGAAACACTTTCTTTCTGTGTTTGCTCTGATGATCAAACATATGAAAATGATCTCGACACTTGAACCCATTGGACGCGTCAACGTTCAGCCTATGTCCCCAAATAGTAGAAGAACAAGAGAAAGAACCACTTGAGAGTCAGACTGAGGAGCAAACAGGAACCAGACCTGGATCTCTCCTCCAAAAAGGTCATATTCCAGAAGAACTAAGAGAGGCCTGAGTCATGCGTCTATCCGTGGTAACTGCTGCCCTGCTGCTGGTGGGCATCCTGAGCTCTGTCACAGCGCAGCTTGAAGGTCAGTACCAAACCATCAGCACAATATCCAACCAACAGGAAAACCCCTTGTGATTAAAGCCCCTGTCTTGTCACAGGTGGGGTTGTTCAGATGTCATGTACTGACGTGGTTCAGCCTTGTGGTGACGGATGGAGCCGCATCGATGAAAATCGCTGCGCTAAATACTTCTCAACTCCAAAAGCCTTCAACGATGCAGACGTAAGAAAAGTCTAAGAACCTTCACAGATCTCTTTGATCTTTGATGAAATTACACTTTCCTGTTCCTTGTTCTTCTGTCTTTGTGTCTTCTGGTTGAAATGCACTTGTTGTAAGTGACGTGTGATGTGATGTAATCTCTCCTCCCTGATGAAGACTAACGCTCCCATTTCTGTTGATTTCAGGCTCAGTGCAAATCCATAGGAAGTGAACTGGTGTCGGGCCATAAAGTTGAAGAGATGCTGAATGTGCTCTGTATTGCCGTTCTCGCCGACTTTGAGATGAAGTCCTTTTGGATCGGCGCCAAGCGATCCGGGGTGAGTGAACATCTCCATGTGATCAGAGGGAGGAGAGACTGATGCATGATACATAGAGGACAATGCTGTCTCATGTCCTCACTGATCTTATCATGTGTGTCCTTCAGGATGGGTTTGTGTTCACCGATGGATCTGAAGTTATCTTTTCGTTTTGGTCCGCTGGTCAGCCGGACAATTTTACCGGCGAAGAGGACTGCGTCGAGGTCAAACCCAAATGTAATGAGAAGATTTTGCAAGAGGTTTTGACAGTGTGGCCACTACTGCTCAGAGACGTCCCACTACAAACGTATAGACAGCTTTATTAAGAGCGTTATGCATTTGAATAGAAAAGACTAGTTTTTATCCTATGATTCATTTAATACATGGGACTTTTAATTTGAAAGGATAGAAGTGGGTGGACGAGGAGACAGAATCAGAATATTTGGCTCACACTCACACAGGTTATTCGATGACAGGCTTGTGAGTTCCATTAAATGTAAAAAATAACCACATTGTTCACCTTTATTGATATAAACGTGTTTTCTTCTCTTTGGTTTCTCCAGATTGGGGAGTCTGGAATGATGATGACTGCTCGGATGAGAATAATTTCATTTGCGCCAAGAACATGTGATCATCCCCAGCTGATGTTCAATGAGGCTCATGAAGACCACTGCAAACACAAGCTCTTAACTTTACTGCAATAAACACTTCAGCATCCACCTCCAGCTTCTGGCTTCATCTGTTCACGTTTACCAAACAGTGTAGAAAGTGTGATGAAAATGAGAGGGAATAAAATAGAAACTTACCTGAGACCTGATGAACATACTTTAGATCAATGATCTGGTGCTCTTCGTGGTCCTCCTTAAGATTACCTGATTCAGGAGGGAGAGATTTAAGCTCCCCGTTCCGTTTTTCAAGGGTTTTTATGATCAGCACTATTCTGACCTCGTTGTCTCTACTAGCAGCTACATTTAAAATATATTACGGGTTCCACTTCTCAGGTAACTGAGATAACTGAACTACAGAAAGAATCAGAGGTCGATGCTTGGGTCCAACAGGCTCATGCATGAGATGGATGAGCAGATTATTTATATAAACGCACCAGCAACCCTTCACTACGCCACTGTCACGGTGTGGTTTTATTTCCTGTCTTGTTTTGTAGTTTTCTGCTTCTTGTATCCCTGGGTAACTTCACTTCCTGCCTTGTCCTGTCATTCCCTGGGATTGTCTGATTGTTTCCACTTGTGTCCAATCACCAGCACCTCCCTAGTGTATTTAAGCAAGTCTCTTGTCACACTGTCTATGGTCCTGGATGTTCGTACTTCCTGCCTGCCGTTTTGCCCCAGTTCTTGCCTTTTGCTTTTTGCCCTTTTTGACTATTAAAGTCTTTTTGCTTTTGAAAGTCTGCATTTTGAGTCCTGCCTTCCCACGCATCCCTGACAGAATGACGCGACCAAAGAAGGGCTCAGCAGACCCGTTGCCAGATTACGGACCTGATTACCTGGACGTAAGAAGTCCCTTCTGGCAGCGGAAAACCAACTTTATTTTCGGTCCCAGGAGCTATCAGAGGGCCTGCCTCGAGCTCCGGGACCTTCTCAACCCCAGGAAAAGGAGCCCTGGCAAGAGGAAGCAGCAACCACTCTTCCCCGCTGGGCCGCAGCGACCACCCGTTGCCGTTCCCCGACTCGCTCCTGCGACCCCGGTACCGGCCCCGAGACTCCTGACTCCGACGCCCCCAGTCCCCGCTCCTCGACTCATGTTCCCTCCCTCCCATCCTGTGGTCCTCTCCCACCCTCCCGTTGGTGATTTGAGGGCCGTCTGGGATCCGGCCCTTGAGAGGGGGGTTATGGGGGGGTCTGAGCCGGCGACTCCGGAGGTGTTCCGTGTCCCCGAGCCGCCACCGACTGCGGAGGTGTTCCGTGTCCCTGAGCTGCCGCCGACTGCGGAGGTGTTCCGTGTCCCCGAGCCGCCGCCGACTGCGGAGGTGTTCCGTGTCCCCGAGCCGCCGCCAACTGCGGAGGTGTTCCGTGTCCCCGAGCCGCCGCCAACTGCGGAGGTGTTCCGTGTCCCCGAGCCGCCGCCGAAAGATTACATTTCATATGTAATGTATCATCATATAGTTACCTCTGCATGCCTAAGCTTTTCTTCTGTTCATGTAAAAAAACAGCAGTGCGGTTGGGATATCTGCTGCTTCTTTATCTTTCTAAACTTTCTTTTGTATCGCTGGACCACTGGATCCACACTTAAGAGCTGCATATTCCACAACTTGCATGACAAAAGCAAATATGTTGTTTTTGAACGCGTTTACATTAAAAAACAAGACTGGGTATTTTTTACTTAGAATTTAGTATTTTAGACTTTTATGTTTTATTTTACGTTTAAGGTGATTTAATAAAAACACATTTTATTCAATTAAATAATTAAAAACAATAAGTTTGATTGAATTCTAAATACATTTTTTGTTTTATTTTAATTTTGACGTAATTTTATGTATATATATATATATATATATATATATATTTATATGATATACATATATACTGTATATATAATTATGTCTTTTTACATACTGTTCTCATACATTTTATTTTAGATATAATAAAAAATATATACTTTTTCAGTTTTCATTTGACTAAATCATATATTTTACCTACCTAGATAAGTATCCACATACAGTCCCGCCTTCCGTCCCTCACATACATGCGCTGATTGGCTCAAGAGGCTTGGCCTCCATGCCAATCAAAACCTCCGTCAACAGACGATCTTTGCAGGCAACGTTAGTTTCTGTTTATCCAATAAAGTTTTAATTGAACCAAGTCCCGTCAGTGACGTCACGTTCAGTTCAACTGTTGCCCGTTGATATTTTAACCCTCTGAAGAACCGTGGAAAGAAATGGCAGCAGGACAAAACGGTGGGAGGTTATTTATTCGGTTAAGCAAAGTTAATTAGACTAGTTAATGTTAAAATATACAAGCTAACTGATAGCTAGAAAAATCGGTTGAACATTTCTGAGCCGCTAGCAGAAATGTTGCTAACATAATGTTAGCTAATGAACTCAAAGAGTAGTTTCACTTGGTATATTTAAGTCGGCACAGAGTAAACAACATGACTTGTTATTTTTCATTTGTCTACTCTAGCTGTTAGCTCTGGTTACAACCATACATGAATAATAGACTTAAAGCTACGTTAGCAAGCTAAGCTAGCCAACAAGGCGGCTCGAACTCAACGTACTGATGGAACGCGGAGCGCGCGTCTGAGAGGCACGTGACATAGAATAAAACAGTATGACATTGATCATTTTTTATTTATTTAATTAAACTATAAGACATACAAATAAAGCATGACAAAAATGATTTACAACATTATTCGTTATTAATATTTTCGTTGGACAGACTGGGGCCAGGACTCGGACGTGGACGGAGACTCAGGGAAGGTCAGCCCGCTGGCCGGCGAGGAAGAGTTCAAGGCGTCCTGCGCCAAAGGGATGGCTCTGCTCGCCCTGATGGAGAAGACGGGATACAACATGGTGCAGGAGAACGGACAGAGGAAGTACGGAGGACCGCCGCCAGGTCTGTGTGTGTGTCTGTCTGTGTGTGATTAGAAATCCAGAAGCATGCTCCTACTCACCTACTCGTTACCTTGTTCTGACACTGTGTTAGGCTGGAAAGGCCCGGCCCCCCCCCGGGGCTGCGAGGTCTTTGTGGGGAAGATCCCTAGAGATCTGTACGAAGACGAGCTGGTCCCGCTCTTTGAGAGAGCCGGCCGGATCTACGAGTTCAGACTGATGATGGAGTTCAGCGGAGAGAACCGCGGCTACGCCTTCGTCATGTACACCAACAGGTAACAGGAACGGGGAATCCTGGCACACGTGAGCACGCTCCCGCCAGCGGACAGCGAGCGCGCCGGCGTCGGAGAATGAAGGAGTCGGTGTCCCGTATTGACCCCCACACGCACCCATGCCAAAACAAAGTGAAGTGATTTGGATGGATGACGCGCCGTTGATTCATGTGCCACAGAGAGGCGGCGCAGAGGGCCATCCAGATGTTGGACAACTACGAGATCCACCCGGGGAAGTTCATCGGCGTGTGCGTGAGTCTGGACAACTGCCGCCTCTTCATCGGCTCCATCCCCAAGGACAAGAGGAAGGAGGAGATCATGGAGGAGATGACCAAGGTACGCAGCAGCACAGAAGAAGAAGAAGATGCGTCATTCGTTTCTCTAATTTCAATTAATTCTAATATTTATGAATATATTAATTTTAAACGCGGTGAAAAACGTATTTCCTTCATTGACTTTCTTTCTCATGAGTTCTCTGTCCATCTCATCTATTTATTTCTCATATTGTGGTTTGTAGACTTTGCTTTGTGGTATAGTAGGGCTGCCACAATATCACATTTTTTGCCATATTATTGCAATTTTCAGACCATTACATGGCGCTGATAACATAATGACAATATAATAGCATAGTAATAAAAGTACGCTATTTCAAAGAACAAAGAACGTTTTATTTGTCAGAGTAGTTTGACATTAGAATCGGAATGTGAACAAATATATCCTATATAAATAAAACGAAATATATATATATGCAGCTCTGCAGCTCATCCAGAATGCAGCAGCTCCACTGGTCTTTAACCTTCCTAAGTTCTCCCTCACTCCTCCACTCCTCCGCTCTCTTCACTGGTACCGGTGGCTCATCCAGTTCTAAACATGGTGCTCACGTACCATGCTGTGAATGGATGGGGTCCAGCTTACATCCAGGACCTGGTCCAACCCGACATCCCGACCCGCACTCTCCGCTCTGCATGTGATAAACTGCTTGTTCCTCCTCACTGAGAGCAAAACACTCGACTAGATCTCCACTCTTTGCTGTCCTGCTCCTAAATGGTGGAAGGAGGTCTCTGAAGACATCAGGACCACAGAGAGCCTTCACATCTTCAGACTAAAGACACACCTCTTCACACTCTACCTCCACTAACACACTAACTAACTGCAGCACTTACATTGGACTTATAATGGTTCTTATCTACAGCAAGTTGTACATCGGCTTATTTGATGAAATCACACTTTCTTGTTCTTCTGTGTTTGTTTCCTTGTCGTTAAAATGCACCTATTGTCGCTTTGGATAAAAGCGTCAGCTAAATGACATGTGATGTAAACTAATGTAATATTTCTCTCTGTCTGCGTCTCCCAGGTGACGGACGGGGTCGTGGACGTGATCGTGTACCCGAGCTCCACCGACAAGAGCCGGAATCGAGGCTTTGCCTTCGTGGAGTACGAGTCCCACAAAGGGGCGGCCATGGCCCGCAGGAAGCTCATCCCAGGTACTGCATGGCCCGCCCTCTCAGCGGACCGGGTCAGCTCCTGTGTTTGTCCAGCAGAGGGCGGCGGAGCACAGATCACTGCAGCAGAGTCTGAGGGAGTGGGAGGGGGGACGGGGGGCTCATCATGTCCAGGTTATCCTGGTTATTCCTGAATGTTTGTCCAGCTGTTTTAGTAAACACGCATTGAGGAAACTGGAGAAAAGTACAGAAATCAATCTACACATAAATCCTCCCTAAAGTCACTTTTAATCTTAGTGACTTTTCCTTTTGAGGTGTCAAATTGACCGGATGCTGTCCTAATTGTGTGCGTCCCTCTTGACATATTTACGGTCCGTGAGGCAGCAAAGGTCGGGGACGCCTGAAGTGGACCCTTCAGGGCATCGCTGCAGAGCACTGAGATCCTCCTCTCTTCTTTACCGTTAGCCGTCTGAGTGTAAATGATTATTCATTATCCATTGTTCAGCTCTTCCTGCTGTTTCTAGGTAAGCTGGCTGCTGTCCGGCTTCTTCTTCAGTTTTCTGTGGTGGCGTTTAATTCTTTTATGGGGACGGTGGGAAATGTACCTGGAAGCTGTGAGACGAGTGTCTTACTGTGTGTCGTCCTCGAGCTCTGTTGACAAAGTAAAAACAGAACGTAGAATGTTGTTAGCAGACCTGAGTCGGCCCCACAGGTCAGAGGTCACAAGTCACACTGTTACAATGTGCTCCGTGTTCTTTGTGGCGTAAAACACGCACATCCTTTTTAAAATCACCGCAGGTTCTCGGTTACTTATTACCAATTATTATTAATATACCTACTCATTTCCTTTATTTATTCAATTTTTCTCCATCTTAATGACTTGATTAATTGAATTAATTTTGACCGTACTTTCCTTTTTCTTATGTTTGATATTGTTTCGTCCACGTATTAAATATATTTTTATCATTTGAAAATGACTTCCTGTATCTCTACAATCACAGCACAATTTTACAATGACTATCTTTGAATAGGAACCTTCCAGCTGTGGGGTAACTCCATCCAGGTGGACTGGGCGGAGCCGGAGAAGGACGTGGACGAGGAGGTGATGCAGCGCGTCAGAGTCCTTTACGTGAGTTTGACTCAATAGTAACAAGAAGAAACCACAATAGTTTCTTTATTTAACTCCTTTTAACTTCCCTCCCAATGAAAATACAAGGACGCCTCCTTTTGGAAGAGGCCTCTGAAATATTCAGCTCAAAGATGGGGGGGGGGTCTCAAACGGAACTGCTCGCCCTCTGGGGGATCAATTAGTGCAGAAGGCTTTTACTCTGAAAGGCTGAGACTGATCCGAGGGCAGCAAATAGAAAAAAGCTCCAAAGTGCTTTACAGGGGAGGGAGGGTTTCCCTCTCGGGGGGGGTCAGAGGTCACAGTGTGTGTGTGCGTGAGACAGAAGGAGACGTTTCATGTTGTACTTCCTGTCAGTTTGAGGTACGGATCACAAACATCACAGTTCAGGGGTCAACAAAGAAAAGGGGAGGAGTCAAAAACAAGTCACTTCCTATAACAGTCAATACAGCTGTTTTACATCTGTTTGCTCCCCTTTTTCACCAGCTGCTTCCCGCCCAGCTTCTTAACACTTAACAAATGACGCTACTATCACAACTAGCAGCTACACGCTATGATTATTACACTGTGACGAGGCATCCGAACACCTCATCTGAGCTCCGCCCTCCTCTCCGTCTCTCAGGTGCGCAACCTGATGCTGAGCACCGGCGAGGAGACGCTGCGCCAGGAGTTCTCCCGCTTCAAGCCGGGCTGCGTGGAGCGCGTGAAGAAGCTGACCGACTACGCCTTCGTCCACTACCGGTCCCGCGCCGACGCCGTCACGGCGCTCAGCCTCATGAACGGCGCCCAGATCGACGGGGCTACCGTGGAGGTGACGCTGGCCAAGCCGGCGGGGGTCAAGGAGGGGGGCACGGCCGGGGGGAGGAGGTACAACACCAACCGAGGGCACCAGGGGGGCAGCGCAGGAGGCGGAGGAGGAAGGAACGGGATGCTTGTCCTGCACAGGAGCGACGCTGGCATGATGGGAGGAGCTGGGAGAACGCTGCCCCTGCCGTCGCGCCTGGGAAGCCCCTTTTACAGCGGAGGAGGTGAGGAGGTGTCACAATGACCAATCAACTCTCAGCGCGGAACACATTGAGCTAAAAGCACAGAATTCCCTTCCGACTGAAACCGTTTCTGGGGGTTTCCATGGCGTCCGGGTCAGTGAAAGCATCTTCAGGATGAGGGCTTCCATCAATACTTCCCTCGACCCACATCCTCTTCTCCGTAAACGTAGATTCAACTTGCGGTTCCACATGTGAGCCTTAAATCGGCCGAGAACACGAGTTGCCGCTTTCCAGTGTGAACGAGGAGAGCTGGTAACCATAGCAACCCGGAGGGCCCGTTTAATTGCATGTGATGAATTAGGAGCTCTAAGCAGATTATAACGCGTTGATGCTACTAATGACACATTACAAGTACCAGCTTCTGTTTCATGATGAGGAAACAAGGCCGTTATTAACGTTAAGGTTAGAAGAGATGTTGACAAACCATTTATAGTAGAACGACGATACATTTATCGTATGTGTGTGTGTGTGTGTGTGTGTGTGTGTGTGTGTGTGTGGGGGGGCTCTCTGCGTGTCCTCAAGAGGACCCGACCCAGTGCGTGTTTCCCCCTGTTTCTCCCGCACGGCGCTGATACCCCACCGGCCTGCTGGCCCTGAAGAGAGTCAGATCTACTCGGGCGTCAGCCTGCTCGACTTCTACTGCCGCAGGAACTACTGGACGCTTCCCGAGTACCACCTGTACTCCACGCCGGGCCAGGAGGGGGCGCTGCTGCTGATCTACAAGGTACCGGTCAGCGACGCACGAGAGAGCTCGATGCCTACCTGTGTGTAAGCGTGTGTGTGTGTGTGTGTGTGTGTGTGTGTGTGTGTGTGTGTGTGTGCAGGTGGTGATCCCCTCTACTCAGAGCACCTACATCCCAGACAAGCTGTGTGTGATGCTGGACGACGCCAAAGAGCTCGCAGCTCAGACGACGCTGTGGAACCTCGGTACTGACACACACACACACGTATACACACGTACACACACACACACACACGTACACACACACACACACACGTACACACACACACACACACGTACACACACACACACACACGTACACACACGTACACACACACACACACGTACACACACACATACACACACACTACACACATACACACACACACACACACACGTACACACACACTACACACATACACACGTACACACACACACACACACACACACGTACACACACACACACGTACACACACACACACACACACACACACACACACTCAGCCATGCATTCAGATACACACGTACACACACGTATACACACTACACACGTACACACACACACACACACAGACACGTACACACATACACACGTACACACACGTATACACACACACACGTACACACACACTCACACACACACACACGTACACACACACACACGTATACACACACACACACGTACACACACACGTACACACACACACACACGTACACACACACACACACGTACACACACGTACACACACACACACGTACACACACGTACACACACAAATACACACACACTACACACATACACACACACACACACACACGTACACACACACACACACACAGACACGTACACACATACACACGTACACACACACACACGTATACACACACACACACTCACACACACACTCACACACACACACACACACACTCAGCCATGCAAGCATTCAGATGTTCTCGTCTCCTCCTTCAGACTCCTCCTTCCTGAGCGCTCCCTCCTGCGACTCCCCCAGCAGCCCCTCCCCTCCCCTCGCCGCCCCCACCTCCTCCACCAGTCCCGGGCTGCTGTCCTGCGGTAGCCGAGCCTTCGCCTCCTGCCTCCCCCCGCCGCCCTCCGCCTTCCCCCTCCCCTCCCTGTCCACGCTGCCGCCCCCGTCCTCCCAACCACAGAGCCGCCTGTACATCGGCTCCCAGCCTCCTTTCTACTGACGGTGAGACGCTCTGTGTTAACGTCCCTCGTCCCAGAGTCCCCCTCAGCGGTGAGACGCTCTGTGTTAACGTCCCTCGTCCCAGTGTCCCCCTCAGCGGTGAGACGCTCTGTGTTAACGTCCCTCGTCCCAGTGTCCCCCTCAGCGGTGAGACGCTCTGTGTTAACGTCCCTCGTCCCAGTGTCCCCCTCAGCGGTGAGACGCTCTGTGTTAACGTCCCTCGTCCCAGAGTCCCCCTCAGCGGTGAGACGCTCTGTGTTAACGTCCCTCGTCCCAGTGTCCCCCTCAGCGGTGAGACGCTCTGTGTTAACGTCCCTCGTCCCAGTGTCCCCCTCAGCGGTGAGACGCTCTGTGTTAACGTCCCTCGTCCCAGTGTCCCCCTCAGCGGTGAGACGCTCTGTGTTAACGTCCCTCGTCCCAGTGTCCCCCTCAGCGGTGAGACGCTCTGTGTTAACGTCCCTCGTCCCAGAGTCCCCCTCAGCGGTGAGACGCTCTGTGTTAACGTCCCTCGTCCCAGTGTCCCCCTCAGCGGTGAGACGCTCTGTGTTAACGTCCCTCGTCCCAGTGTCCCCCTCAGCGGTGAGACGCTCTGTGTTAACGTCCCTCGTCCCAGAGTCCCCCTCAGCGGTGAGACGCTCTGTGTTAACGTCCCTCGTCCCAGAGTCCCCCTCAGCGGTGAGACGCTCTGTGTTAACGTCCCTCGTCCCAGTGTCCCCCTCAGCGGTGAGACGCTCTGTGTTAACGTCCCTCGTCCCAGAGTCCCCCTCAGCGGTGAGACGCTCTGTGTTAACGTCCCTCGTCCCAGTGTCCCCCTCAGCGGTGAGACGCTCTGTGTTAACGTCCCTCGTCCCAGAGTCCCCCTCAGCGGTGAGACGCTCTGTGTTAACGTCCCTCGTCCCAGTGTCCCCCTCAGCGGTGAGACGCTCTGTGTTAACGTCCCTCGTCCCAGTGTCCCCCTCAGCGGTGAGACGCTCTGTGTTAACGTCCCTCGTCCCAGAGTCCCCCTCAGCGGTGAGACGCTCTGTGTTAACGTCCCTCGTCCCAGTGTCCCCCTCAGCGGGGAGACGCTCTGTGTTAACGTCCCTCGTCCCAGTGTCCCCCTCAGCGGTGAGACGCTCTGTTGTGTAACTGGTATTTGCATGATACCCATTGAAGGATTCATGTTTTCCATAATAATAATTATTAGAAGACGACGTTACCGCGGCAACGCGTCCGTCCTGCTCTTATTTAATATGTGGCGCCCTCGCTGAGGTAACGACGTCCGCTCTGTTGTTGCAGGAGGAACTGTGTCGCCGTGACGACGAGACGGCGGCGGGCGCTCGGCTCCTTCTCTCCTGTCTCCTCTGCCTCCTCACATTACCCATGATGCCGCAGCAGCGGCTCACCTCTCAGGTTAAGGTTGGAGATGTTTAAGCAAAGAGGGAAGAACAGGAAACAATGACAGCTTTTAAAGTCAGATCTGCTCTCCCAGAAGTCACAGCGTGGAGGAAGAGGAGGGTCCCCGTTCTTCTTCTCGTCTTCCTACTTCCTGTCCTTTCTGTTGGATGTTTCCTCTACTTGTTAATTTTCCTCTTGGTTTTCTTCTTCATTTTCTGTTTTTCATTTCCGTTCCCTTTCCTTCTTCGTTCTTAAATCTGAGAGGAGGACCAGAGGCCTTGAAGACGGATTTAACCCCTTTATCCTTTTGTTGGTGTCCAGTCCCATTTTCTCTAATTTGGTCGACCCACTTTAGTAGAAACACGTGAGGAAGAAGAGGGAGAGAACGTCTGCAGGCTTTTCTTTCTCATTGGTGTTTTTAATTAAAGCCACATTCACTGAGAGGAGAGAAGAAGAAAAGAGCCACGAGGAGACACATTATAAGGAGACACACTGAGAAAAGAATGAGATCCTTTAAACGGCAACATAACAGGAAGTAAACAACACTAATGAGTGAAACAAATACTTCTTTCTATTTGGCAAAATAGGAGATAAAATGTCTCTTTTCCTGAAGAGGAGCAGAGTCGCCGTCGTCATCTTCCTCTATTATTTTAATAATAGAGGAAACGTTCTTATGGATTTATCGATCGTCGTGTTCACGTCTTTTGGGTTCTTGTTACTTTCCATGTTTCTGAGTTTCTGAGTTTTTGGGCTGATTGATTACAAAGTTCTAAAGTTTAAAAAGTCCTCCAGGTTCTAACAACGGTGCCAAGAAACTGATCTTTTTCTGTTTTTTAATGCAGATTATTAGTAGTTTACAAATGAACCCTTTTAGTTCATATTCTTCATTAATAAACGCAAAGCCAGAAATACGAATCAGGAAGCAAAAGAACAAGAACAAAGTATTTATTTTAATGATACAATTCTCAAATGCATCAAACTTGATTCCAAAGTGATTAACTGCTGATGTGTTGTTGTTGTTGTTGTTGAGAAATGAAATGTCTGGTATAAAATCACCTTTTTATTGTTTAAAGCTGTTTGTTGTAATAGATTTTCTTCTTGTGTGAAAAAATACACGTTTAGTTTGTGTCCCAATTTGTTTACTTCTTCTTTCTTCTTCACAACAACGTCCCCGTGTTCTGTCTCCAAACAAACAGTGTAACTCTTCCTCACGGAGGAGGAGGAGGAGGAGGAGATCAGGGGGGCGGGCTCTATTTCTTCTTCCCTCCATGTTTTCCTCTCCTTGTTTTATCCTCCACCTTTCACCTCCTTATTCTTCTCTTTTCCCTTCGTTGTTTCGCTGGAAGGACATTAGAGGGAGGTGGACAGACGGAGGAGAGAGGAGGACAGACGGAGGAGGGAGGAGGACAGACGGAGGAGGGAGGAGGAAAAGGAGTCTTAATATCTTTTGTTTCCACATAAAAAACCAAACAACCGTGCTGGTTCTCCCGCGTCTTCTTCTGTGGTGTTTATAGCTTCTCTGCGCTGGGAGTTCATCCTGCAGTCAGCTGACTCCCCTGACACCACCCGACTAGCGTCCTACTCCTCCCCCTCCTTTTCTCCTCCTTCTCCTCCTCCTCCTCAGTAGAAGACACACAAACGATCACGTGTGTCTCATTAAAATCAGTTTCAGCAAAACCCCAAAGTGAATTCTAGCTGTAAATTTTCCAACGAGGTTTCACTCTTATTCGTCGTAAAGAAACCCATGTTTTCATGGTGAGAGCCCCTTTCTTCTTCTCCTTTAACGTAACACCTCATGCTCATAATTCATCTTTCAGCTCTGTGATGTTAGAAAAACAAGCCTGGAGGCCAAACGCCGTCGACAGAAACAGGAAACCATTTATTCTGTGACTCTGCAGCTCTTTATTATTTATCATATTTCTGTTTTGTTATCCGGACATTTTCTTTCCTGCAGATATGGATGCACAAAATATTTCTAATTACAGCAAAGTTTACAACAAGTTCTTTTCTGTGGCTTTTGGGGAAGACGATGGAGGAATGTCGAATTAGGATTAAAACTATTTAAGATTTAATTACTGACATGTTATTGCCTTTTTATTAAAATGCTTATTTTGTTAGTTTTACTCCCTAAGTCCTTTTAAACATCAAACATTTGATTTTCTTCAGCCTGAAGCAGCAGAGGGAGAACACACACACACACACACACACACACACACACACACACACACACACTGGGAGAGTATTTAATTAGACTGCAGGGAGGAAGTTCTTTAATTAACCAAACGCCATTCAGAGCAGACATTTAAACGCCTCTATAGGTAAAATATCACCCACAGAATAATTACCTGAACACCACAGAAGAAGACGATGAAGTGTGCGCGGCGGGGGGCCTGACGGACTTACTGTACGGACCCTCCGCCGTGTTGCCACGGAAACCCAAAGCCCCCTCCGGCGCCCTGCCAGGACCCCTTCAGAGACCCGCACGTACAAATGTTAGTTTTAGCGTTGCTTTGCACCCGTAAAAGATTTGACAACACGACACAAAACCCCCAAAAAACAGCAGCTGCTTCAATTGTGTGACTTGATTTAATCTTTTTTCTAACAATGTCACCAAAATGTAATTGTCTCTCTTGAATAGAATTCAAATGATATTCAGACTCACGTAATTCTCTTTGTTCTCTAAACTCGACACAAAGCGACGTAATCACCTGAACACTGATTGGGTTTCTCTTTCTTTCCCTCCACTCTCATTAGATTCCGCCGAGCTTCTCCGTAAGATGTAAGAGCACAGAGACAGAGATGTGTCTCTGGGATTGACTGTAGAGGACAAACACTCACTTGCTGTTGTTAGAAACAAACAACAACAGCCTGTCAGATCGAGCCCGAGCGAGAAGAAGAGTTCTCTAACAAAAGACCTCGACACAATGGCAAATATTTACGCAATACCAACGTTTTTCATGCCCCAAAAAACATCCTCATTAAAAGCTCTGAGTCAAAAGTGTTTGACTGAATATTTCCTCAACATGGAAAAGTCTCAGAGATCAAAATTGCACGAATCTCCTAATAAGTGCACAAGGAGCTTTAACGTCCAAGAGATGTTGTGGGATTCGATGAAGTTCGTCGTCCTCCTGCTGTGACTCCTCTTTGCTTCTTGCTGCACCAACTTCCTGCGTCCCAGAGCTGCTGGAGGCCTCCTGCACTCTGGGTTCCGTCTTCTAGGCGGACAAGATACAAACTACATTTAGTTAGACGATATTCATGAACCTACATCAATCACTAAGACAACCTCTTTCTTTGTTAACAACATGAGATAGAATGGAAATAAACCTACGATTGTTCTTGTGACTCCAGAAGTTAATGTGCTGCCCTCCATGTCACGTTGTGGTCGTAAATGAGGAAACTAACCCGAGTCACTCAGAGCCTCCGCTTGACTTCCAAAGGGTTGGAACCGACGGTTCCAAGGTGCATGCTGGGAAACGGGGCTCTGAACCTCCGCTGGAAGGACTTTCCACAACGTCTGGCAGGAAGTCCCCGTGCCGCGGCTACCTGTGTTTACCCCGGAACCCTCCTGTGACTCCGCGCAGCCTTTGAGCGAGTGAAAGTGCTGCTGGAGTCAAACTGCTTAAAGTATTAAGGGTGGATGTTTACGGAGGGATTACTGCTGCAGACACATTCGGCTCTGAGCCATACTTACTTTTAAGAAAACTGTTTAACCTGCAGAAACCGTCAGGCGATATAAAGAAACTTCTTTATTTGAGTCCTTTAAGCCTCTAAGTTTCCAGCTGCTTCTTGAGGAAACGTTAAAGGGACAAAAACATGAAAACCACGAAGAAGCTTTTAAGATATAAATGAGTCTCTGGCTCCGAGGTGCACGTATTGTTTTGGGCTGGAAACCTTTAATGAGAAATGTTGAGGATTCCTTCAACTGAGGAACAAACGCTGAAGAACCGCCGCATTCTCTCCACGTAGCGGTTAGCGCTAACCCCCCGCTGACTTTAGGAATCAAGGTGCAGATTTAAGGGTAAATTGGTTCCACTGAAGCTGAATCTATCTTTTCTGTCTCAGACAAAAGATATTTCAGTCAAACAAATACATTCTTTTATTATTTCCTAGTGCACAAATCTACCAGGGGTCATCACAGTATTCAAAGGCCTTTGATAAATCATCTGAAACACGGAGCTAATCAAACAGAAACTCTCTCTTAATCTATGTGAAACAGACACAATCTGATTTATCTGCATGATTATGGTATCAAACCAGTAAAGTGAGTTCAAAGTCCTTTAACCCGACGAACCTTCTCCTCTTCTGTCCGTTTCCACCTACAAGCACAGAGAACTATTCAAAGCAGTGTTACCTTCAAGGACCAAACTGTTTGACAGTCTCCTTCTGACCCCCGACACAACATCAACAAACAGATAGAAGCTCGACCTCAGCTGAGCGGAGGAGTGTATCACACCGACTGATAGAGGGTTTAGATCCCAGCATCCTTTCTTTGACCTCAGTACCTCACACGGTGTTTAGAGAGGCCGGTAAACAGAGAGCAGCTTCCCCCGAATCACTATCAGATGTTTAGCTTTGACATCAATGCGTCAAACTGTGTTTTTATCGCATAGCGCTTGTATCTGTGCTGCTAAAATAGACCCGACTGTGTGCTCTGTAATCCCTCTATGTGGTGTAAATATCGGTCGGATGGAGATAAGAGTTTTTACGGGACATTCAGAAGAGTTCACGGATGAGCAGATACCTGAACCCCAAGGAACCACTTTTTAAATGACTCTTTGAAAACCTGTATTCAAACAGTGAATACTTCATAAACTCGACCAGACGTACTTGAACATGAGGCGGCAGCGTTTTTTTCCGCAAGCCTTTTTAATCTAATCCATCCAATCAAACAGTGGAACCAGATTTGATCCCTGCGGAACCCCGGAAGAATGAAGCTGGACCAATGAGGAGCCTCCGGTCCAATCAGGTGGTGTGAAACCAGATTTATTTTGTGAACACGGCAATCCATGGTTGAGTCCGACCAATCACGTGAGAAGTGGGCGTGGTCAGACGTGATATTCTGTATAGTGAATGAATCCGACTGGAATAACTGCTGTGATATTTTGCTCCGGCATTCATGGCTTCCAGAGGATGAACCATACAGGCTTTGGTCTTTTGTGAAGTTTTCAACTCTTTGCCGTGAAGTTGGTTCAACTTGTGCTGTTATCTCTTGATTAAAGCGTGTTTTATTATCCTAAAGGTTTATTCTTTCAGTATTTAAGATCAGTCGTAGCTTCTGGCGTGTTTCTGTTCTGGGACTTGAAGAAAGTTGAAGAACCGCCTTCCTCCCACAGCTGTGGGGGAAGGCGACCTTGACAAAGTCAGATAAACGTGTCCCACGAGCAGACCGGTCCGACGGGTTGTCCTCCAGAAACAAAGCTGAACAGTGATGGAGTTTATCTCCACTGCAGCTGATAAACCTCCAGCCTCTGTGAGAAGGCTCTTGTCTCCGCCCAAACTCCTCGTGCAAAAAAAAGGGACCAATGAGGCGTCTGCAGAACATCTCATCGACACAACACATCAGTGACGGATATCTCTCAATTACTGTGCGCACGCACACACACACACAGCAGACACACAACGGCTCAGACTCCCCCGCATGCGACAAATCAGCTTCCAGTTCTCATTCAATCTCCAGGAGGGTTATAAGCTTCTTATCTGCATCATTTTCATGGACACAAACACACACACACTCACACACACACACACACACACACACACACACACACACACACACACACACACACACACACACACACACACTGTGTGGTCGGTCTCAGGTGAATCAATCGTGACGTTTTAGTTTCTTACAGTCTGTATAAAGGAAACTGCTGATTTTGATGTGAACGCTTTGGATGAAACGTCACAATTTGAAGCTTGTTTTTTTTGTGGCTTTTTTCTCATGACGTGTTTACGGATCTTCAGAAAGGATCATGAAGGTTAAAGTTATAGAAATGAATTCCAACCCTTAGTTGTAGGGAGGGAATCTCCCAGAAAGCACTGCGGCTCCTCGCCCGTTCCGTGTCACAGTGTTTGACTCTTGAAGCTGTTACCAACATCCATTATTAACAATCCCCTCGGGGAGGAGCGGA